TTGATTCTTTTTTCTTTACCCTAATTTTTGCCTAGGACGCCCTTTACGGATTTTCGTCCTAGCGGGATTTGTCCTGCAATGCCTTTATTCTTCAATTGGGTTTTGTTGTGATTCCCTAAAAGCAAGGATTCATTCATTCTTGATCATTCTTCCTATCCCAACAATTGTCATTTCTGCATGGGGAACTCTCGTTGTGTGAATCATCAATTTGGGCGTGTTATGCCCCCCAGTCTTCTTGCACAATTACTGGTTTTTAAGTGCTTTCAATTTGATGTATCGAGTTTGCACTTGATCACCAGTGATCTCATTATTTGATTAACATGCATAGTTTCGGTTTCCCTTTTTATTCTTATTTATTATTTACAAGGAAGAGATATTATCTATATGAATAAGTTTTCAAAAGTTGTGGTGACCCCATGTAATTCATTCATCAAATTGTCTATCTTAGGGATTAGGTGCCTAGATTTTATTGGTGACTTTATAAATTGGTGCGCATCCTCTATTGCCATCTTTCTTTGGCACCAAAAGAATGAGGATGGAACAAGGGTTAAGGTTCTCTTGAACCTAGCCCTTTTTCTTCAAAGGAAAAATTCTTTTTTTCTTTTCTCTTCTTTTTGTTTTTGTTTTTGCTTTTCTCCTCCTCATCTTTCTTAGCTTTTAATTTGAGTTGGTCCTCATTCACTTGAGAAGGTGATAGAGGACACCACACAAATTTCTTTCCCAAGTGTTGGAAACTTATTTTTTCGGATTTCCTTCTAGGTTGTCCTTAGAAGAAGAATCTATTTTCGCTTTTAGGAATTTTAATTTTGTTAGATAGATGTAAGAATTCCTCTTAGGTTTCCTTTTAGGATACACCATCCATTTGCTTCAGATAAACCTATCACCTCTAATACATGGTATTTTGTGCATGTAGGTGTTGATTCCTATCATATGGATCTTCGTGATTTGAGGACAAATCCTTTTCAAGAGGGAGGGGATGATGGAATCATGCCTAGGAAGGCAAGGGGTGACACATTGAAAGAGCCAAGAGGAATGGGCTAGACATGAAGGCTTGGGCCAGTCAAGGCCCAATGGGCCTGGTAGGCTTGGAAGGTCCAAGTCAAGCTTCACATGGGCCACATTGTGTGTTTTGTAAATAACATGTTAGTATAGGTATGAGCCTTTGGGCTTGAATTGCATTTTTGGGCCTTGTATTTTGGCCAAGTAGTTTAGGAATTTAATTTCATGTTCATTTGAATTTAGGGTTATTTAGGTTGCATGTGTAGTTGTATTAGAATGTAATTAGATTCACATTTGGTGTGCATTTCGGCCATGTGCAACACATGCACATGGTGTGATCCGAAATGCAACTCAAATGGAAGCCTAATGACATTCCAAATGCATTGCACATGGGTGATCCGGGTTTAGGCTCCAGAATTTGAATTTTGAATTCAAATTTTGGGCACCTAAGGTTAAGTGAAACCTACCATGGTTTCACTTAACCTTAGGCTAACCCATGGTTACTTTGACCTAATTTTTCCTTATACAATCCTTATGACCGAAACTTGTACTCATTTTGGATATATTTGATGAGTTTTCTCTCTTTGAACTCACCTCCTCCGAAGCCATTACTCCTAGAATCTACCCTACTTGAGAGTTTCTCTTTGTAGAGCTAAGACCCTCACTCTTCTTCGGACTTAGCTTTATGCAAGCCTAGGTCACATTGAAGCTTCATTGGAGTCTTGTGCCTTGAAGTTCTTCCAAGGTTTTCCGAGAAGCTTGAAGTGTTCATGAGAATTCCAAGTGGAATCTCATCACCTGTCATGGAAAATATACAGTTGGGTTACGTCGTCACGTAACACTGGTGATCGCGACCACTTCATCCATCGATATGACTCGGCCTTGCCCTCATACCGGTAGCAAATAGAATACTTAGAGGAGTACTTCAAAATACACCTAACATCTGAAGTGGTTTATTATATAATCTTTGGAAAAGTTTCATATTGGAATCCTCACCATGGGACTCCCAAATTCCATATTTTCCAAAGATTATATCTTGATCTCGCCAAGAGATCTCCCAATCCATACCATAACCTTACTCCTCTAAGTCCTATTTAGCTTTCCAAACCAAACACACATAACATATTCCATAATTACATACAAACTTTTCCATAACCATGCCAAATTCGTTCCAGAGGCGCGTTTAACACATAAATGCCATTTTGGAATGGCCTGTTCCGATTTTGGAACGGCCCGTTCCAGTTTAGGGTTTTAGGCTCTTTTTTGTAAATTGGAACGGCCCGTTCCAGTTTTGGAACAGCCCGTTCCGGGCTACTAAAACCAGCTTTTTTGATCTTTTAGTCTTCTGATGTCATGTCCTGTTATTTCCATGATTGGGAGCTCCTTTTCTCGATAATAGACGTTCATTTCTTCGTTTGTATGCCCCCCGGACGAAATTGGGTGTCTACAAACCTCTCTTGCCGACGCTAGTATTCTTTAATAACTTTTAGTTCTTCAAGTATTCTTGACCACTTCTGGCCCGCTAGCTGCACTCTCTAGCGCTAGTATTCTCAAACCACTTCTGGTTCACAAGTATTCTTTCTACTAGCCTCTTCAGGCTTTATAGCAAATGAAGGTGTTGAGTGTGTTTTTTCAGCTTTCACAGAGAGGATAGGATAGCTTGTACACTCTCTAAGGTGCGTAACCTTAGTTTTACAATAATAAGTGTCTAAGTGTTTGTTTACTCTCGTAAAGAGGATAGACTATTAGCAACACTTACTAAGATAAGCTATCTTAGTTTTTACACAGATATGCATGAAATTCTTTTTGAGAAGAAATGTAGCTTATACTTTTTTGCTTTCTTTTTCTTATTGCCCGTTTTCTCCACTTCTCTGTTCTACTACTTCTTCTTCTTTGCCTTGATATTTACAGTCATTTGATAAATCTGCCCGTTGTTTGAATTCAAATTTTCCTGTTGGAGCGTAGCTTCATGTCGTTGTAGATAAAGGCTTGTTCATGGCTATGTAAATCTTTTCATTTAATGCATTTGATCCTGCATTAAATGTTTTCTGGTATACGTGAAATCCTTTTGTGTAGTTGATTATTCCAATGTCTGACTTCAATCTAATCTAGGCATATTTGTACTTGTTTCATCAGTTTAGCTGCTGCGATTGTTATTTTTCTCTGAAAAGTAGGTGTCCTTTTTCTAACATATGCAACTTTGACTTGTAACTCCATGCTTGCCTATTTTTCTTCTTTTCTGTATTCTGGTTTGACGTCCTTTTGTGTTTCTTGTCTGATTTCACTCGATGTAATTAGTGGACTTTAGACGCGCTTCATTGCTTTCTAACTGCGTCTAGATACGGAATTCTTCGTCTGGTCTTGAGAGTGATAGCTTCGTTTCCTAGTTCGTTTGGTTCTATCTGATGTTTTCATCAATTCACATTGATGTATGTCCAACTTCCGTTTCATGCTTGACTTAGACTCATACAGTGCTTGTTTCGGTCTTACATCTGATTCCTCATGCTTCAGTTGATAGATTCGTCTTATCTTATATTTTGATTAGTCCTCAATTGATCTTAGTCTTGATACTAACTTCTGCCATCGTCTAATGTTTTGTCCAACTCGATTATGCTTGACCATTCTTGCCCTTCATTTTTCCTGAACTTATTGTCGTTTATCTGAAACACTAATACACATGTCAGCAATAACAATACGTATTATATTTGTGATATTCAAAACCTCGGTGGGAATTGCAAATGCGCTTTGTCTGACTCAACAAGGTACTTTGGTTGGGAATGGCAAAGGAATATGTTTTTCTACTGATATTGTATTTTTTTCTACTATTTTATTTTTTCTGCAATAATTGTTTTTTTTTCTTTTTCTGTTGCAACATCTAATTCCTTGCTGCTCATCAAAGTTATGACACTCACATTTCCCTTAGGATTAATGACTGTTTGTGAAGGAAGGTTGTTGGATCCTTGTGATTGCATGTTGTTAATGGATTGAGTTTTTAAAAAATTATACAAGTTCAACCCAATCCAACCCATTAAATTTTGATCGAGTCGAATAGCAGATTTATCCAAATCTGACTTAACTCTATCCGCTTACACCCGTAATTAGAATATCTTTAATTGTGTAATTATAGTATACTAAATTAACTCATTTTTACAAGCCATCCAATGTTTTAAGAGGTTTAAGAAATTGAACAAGTTTTTTTTCTTCTATTGGTGCTATCCTTAAAATCTTTAAATGTATTATCTTTCTCCAAAATCATCAGAAATATTAAGAATCGTTATTTATATCAGCAATAATTTTTATATAAGAATTGTCACATCAATTGCTCACACAACAAAAATAAAAAGGACATGTCTATGAACAAATTAATAACATTTAATTTTCTATTTATTAGTGTATTTATTTTACATAATTAAAGAATATTGAAACCATTACAATAACATTTATTATAACATCCATAACAATTCAGTTTACTATAAATCACATATAATCATATTCATTTAGTATGTAGTACTACCATTAAAAGTATATTGTAAAATTGCAAATGATTACTAATTAAATGAAATTGGTCTGTATTTAAAAAAAATTAAACAAAATAAAAATTAAATAAATATGAACATTTAAATAAAAATAAAAATATAATTTAACCTCAATTTTATCCTATATAAGAAAAGTATTCAAAATTGTCTTAGTATTTAATAAGCCAAATTTTTTATAAGTTTCTTATGTACCGTTGATATGTTTACCTAATCATAAACAAAGTTTTATGTCAATTATATACATAAATATATATTTAATAAAATAAACATCGAATATAAGTACAGATAAAACTGTATTTCTGATTAAAAACTATACTAATGTTGGCAATTCAAACCTAAGTTACTTGAGCTAAATTTTGTTCTAATTATTAATATTCATGTTGCTGAGAAAGAGAAAGTAACATGGTGTAAAAAAATATAAAAAGGCTCCAATCCTTAGAATTTCAATGGCGGCCCCTACGGCGTTGGCCCTGTTACCTTTTCTATGCCTCCTCTTCTTTCTTCCTCTGTCCGTGTCCTTCCTTGTAATGCTATAAAGGCAACACACTAACAACCAAACAAAAGCCAAAGGCTGCTCAGCACCACACACATATATATACACTCAAGTTCAAGCTCTCAAAACACATGGAACAGTTTAAGATTCTTTTTGTTTTTCTCCTCACTCTGCTACTTGTGCTCAAGCTCGCACTCTCGCTCTGGTGGAGACCAAGAAAAATTGCCAGACATTTCTCCAAGCAAGGAATCAGAGGACCCCCTTATCGTTTCTTCATTGGAAATGTTAAGGAACTCGTGGGACTCATGATGAAAGCTTCCTCTCAACCCATGCCTTTCTCTCACAACATTCTCCCTAGAGTCCTCTCCTTCTACCATCACTGGAAGAAAATTTACGGTACTTGTTTCATTTATCATCATTATTCTCACCTCTCTTCTTAAAATTCCCCCTTTCTTTCTCTCTTAAGAAACTCAATCAGTATAACTCAACCTTACAAATCACACTCTTATAAAGTATAAAATCCTCTCTACTTATATTCAGTTTATTGATCTTATAACCGAAAGATGTGAGATCTCCAATACTCTCACTTTCACAGAGTCACACTCAATTCTTGTACACATATACATTGTCTTTCTAGGAAATCCAAAACGAGCCAAAGTGCAGTGGGTTTCATCAATATTTTTCACACCCTTTTGTGCTGTGCTGGTGCTCTTCAAACGATGATGTTTCTTTTGCTAGTTTAATGATCCTTCTTCCACAATTTCGAGACTTTTTAAGCACTCGTTTCCGGAGGTAGGGTGCTTCTTTTTGCAACCATTCTAGCTTTCCTTTTCCAGAGCTAGTTTTGTTGCACCACCTCTCTCTTTTCCACTTTCTCTGCGTTTCTCTCTGTTTCCCTTTTTTACGCTTCTTTTGCAATTGTTTTATTTATCCAATATGGCTCAAAGTTAGTTTTAAAAAAATGATCCGCGACCCATAATGCCAGGTTTTCAGACTCACCACACCAGCGTTTTTCCACTGCAATTATGGACACATTTGTCCTCAATTTCTTGTAATACGAAGGATAGCAATGAATATACAATTGTGAACGCAATTTAAAAACCTTAATAAAGCCTATGTAAATCAATGAATATACAATTGTAGTATTTATTACGTGCTGACCCCTGTTCAGTATGGATGTCAGTAACACAAAATTAAACTAGCACTTATTCTAAGTTTTATTTTCCTATAAAAAAAATACCCAGTTTATTAAAGAACCCTTCTGATTTATAATGTCATAGTGTTTATGATATATAAGTTCAATTTGTTGAATGTGATGCTGTCATCTGATTTTGCGCTGTTTCCCATGTCTTATTTTTCTTGTGTTGTAATACGGGGAAATTGAATTTTGACAATGTAGTTGTATGTGTTTGGTAACCGTTTTCAAATTGACTTGTCTTCTTCAATTCCCTCCTCCTCCTGTTTATTGCCACCTCTCTGTATATGTCTCTGTGCTGTAGGGTCCTCACCGTCCTTGCATCCTCTGAAACCAACGGTTGTCATGTTTCCTTCTCCTTTCATCATTTTACAAACCTCACACTTGCTACACCAGCCTCTGTGCCACTTCCAACTTCATGTAAAAATGTCTCATTTTTTCTTAGTTTATGAAAAATCCCTCACATGCAAAATTACAATCACAATTACAATTGCAAAATTGCTTAACCAGGGAACTAATTAATCAAAGTCTCTCATTTGATTTGTTAAAGGAGCAACATTTCTTGTTTGGTTTGGACCCACTGTTCGAGTCACCATCTCTGATCCAGACCTCATCAGGGAAATCTTCACCACCAAATCAGAATTCTATGAGAAAAACGAATCTCCCCCACTTGTGAAGCAGCTCGAAGGTGATGGACTCCTTAGCCTCAAAGGAGAAAAATGGGCTCACCACAGAAGAATCATCTCTCCCACCTTTCACATGGAAAATCTCAAAGTAATTAAGTACCCTACCTAGTATATTCCTAACTCGTTCTTTCAATACATTATATTATATTATCATGCACCAATTTTTTTTATTATTATAACAATGGTGCCCAATTGTATATGCATTTTTGTAGCTCTTGATTCCGATTATGGCAACAAGCGTGGTTGAGATGTTGGAGAAGTGGAAGGCAATGGCAGAAAAGGGTGAGGTGGAAATCGAAGTTTCGGAATGTTTTCAAACGTTAACAGAAGATGTGATCACTAGGACAGCGTTTGGAAGTAGCTACGAAGATGGAAAAGCCGTTTTCCGGTTACAAGCCCAACAAATGGTCCTTGCAGCCGATGCCTTCCAAAAGGTGTTCATTCCAGGTTACAGGTACTCAATGTCTCAGTAATAATAATACCCATTAAGAAAATTTACAACTAATTATTTATTGATGCACTAATTTGGAACATTCTAGATTCTTGCCCACGAGGAGGAACATAAATTGTTGGAAATTGGAGAAGGAGATGAAGAAATCGTTGGTGAAGCTGATCGATAGAAGAAAAGAGAATGCGTGTGGGAAAGAGGAAAAAAAAGGAGCGAAGGATTTGCTGGGGATTATGATTGGGGCTTCAAACACCACCTCGAACGTGAGCGTAACGGTGGATGACATAGTGGAAGAGTGCAAGACGTTTTTCTTTGCAGGCAAACACACCACTTCGAACCTGCTGACGTGGACGACGATTCTGCTTGCGATGCACCCTGAGTGGCAGGTACGGGCACGTGAGGAGCTGCTGAGTGTGTGCGGGGCACGTGACGTTCCCACCAAGGACGACCTTGCCAAGCTTAAGACAGTAAGCAACTAACTCAAGCAACCCTCTCTTGGCCTTGTTTTGTGTGAGGTTTGGATTCGGACAAAAATCTTGTTTTGTCTCTTCGCCCTTGTTTTCTGTGTTCTTTTCCTCGCACAACACAGGCCCTTCTCGCTTTCTCTTTCTTATCTCCAGGGAGCATGTAGGGGCACTTTTATCGTTTCCGACATACAAATTTTGTTTTCGTTTAACAAACGTTTCTTGCAGAAATAACAAAAAATCGCTTTAATATTGTTTATCATTATATTTAAACACTTCCTTCTTGAGTTCTTCTTATATCCTACTTGTCTCTTTCTTTGCTTCTTTGTATCTTTATGGCAAAATAATTGTTTTTTAACATAATGAGATAACTTTTGTACATGTTTATTTTTTCTTGCTATTTTTTTTTTGTCTGCCATGACTTGCTTGTTTCTGTATCAAACTAAATATTTATCATTACTCATTCACCATTTCAATTTAAATATTTAATAATAGGAGTTTTCGAATTTTAATTTTCTAATCTTTATTCAAAATGTTTCATCAATTAAAATAAATTTAAATGTTTTTAGTATATATATATATATAGTGGATTAAGTTATTCTGAGAATAACTTTTAAATAATAATAATAATTATTATTATTCACCTTTTATTCTCTTTTAATTTAATTATTATAATGAGGAATTTATCTTTAACAGTCATGGAGAGATGAGGAGACAAATATTATCATGTAGTATGTATTTTTTATTTATCATTTTTATGTGATATTAAGGGAGCAAAAAAGCACATGGTGCTTCTCTGTATTTTTCTCAAAAATAAAATAAAATAAAATAATATAAATAATATAATAGGCAATTACTTAAAACAAAACATTCACAGTAATTTACAGACAATTAAAGTGACAAAATTCTCTAAAAATATTTACACAAAGTGAATATCCCTTTGTATATGCCGATATATATAACACAAGATACACTAATATGAGTTAGTGACACTAATATTAATATCAACTAATAACACATTGTTTGCATTGTAATTAAATTGTTATTTTCATAATATAATGGATTATCTTGTGGTTGTAGCTGACAATGGTCGTGAACGAGTCCCTAAGACTGTACCCTCCCACAATCGCAACCATAAGAAGGGCAAAAGCTGACGTGGAGCTAGGGGAGTACAAGATCCCGTGCGGGACGGAGCTCCTGATCCCCATAGTGGCCGTTCATCACGATCAGGCCACGTGGGGCAGCGACGCGAGTGAGTTCAATCCTGGCCGTTTCTCCAACGGCGTGTCCCGCGCAGCGCAACACCCTTTCGCCTTCATCCCCTTTGGCCTCGGTGTGCGCACATGCATCGGACAAAACCTCGCAATTCTTCAAACCAAACTCGCCCTTGCGATCATGCTTCGCGGTTTTAGTTTCAGGCTGGCCCCAAGCTATCGCCACGCACCAACGGTCCTCATGCTGCTCTACCCTCAATACGGTGCGCCAATACTTTTCCAACGCGTATCCACAACCGCCACTACTTTGGGTTCTACCTGATTATGCATGTGTTTTTGTGTAGATTGGGTGTACATGTGGCTTGTGTTTAGGATCAAACTCCCCCTTTTGGCTTTGTCTTGTGAGTTGAAGGAAAAAAAAATATAGATACATATGTATGAATTAATTAGGTTTTATATATGTTGATGGTTTGAAAGAGGTTCTTAGAAGCTTATAACATTGATGTCAATTTTATTTTTTTTTAGAACATTGTGGAATATTATAGCCAAACATGGTTTGTGTTAATTCAATTGCGTTGTAAAAAAATGTTACCTCAATTGCAATCACAATATAGGTTTATGATTGTTCAATAATTTTTATACTTCAACTGTGCAGTGCAATTTGAAACTGTTATAATATAATGATGGAAACTTGTTTGGAGAATCCGGATTGATGAGAATCCTCTTCAAGTTCCTCCCTAGATCTTCGACTCCTTGATTCTTCCTAAGCTTTGCTAAGGTATCCTATGGAGGAGGAGGCCTTAGAACCACCAAGATTTGGTGGAGAACTCTCCCAAGAGGCGCCACTACTTGTTGAAGAGATAAGCACCTTCAATTATCACAAAAATATTATATGAAGGGATAAGAGCCTTTGAATCTTGTCCATAAGCTCTCGATCTTAGTATGGAGGAATATGCCTCCTTCTTATGGAACTACGGAGCTCATTCCAATATTGGATTGGGGGCTCATGGTTTATTCTCCTTTCTTTTTCTAAGGAGGTCCACCAATACATAGCATGTCCTTGGAAGCTAAGGGTTGCTAAAGAAACCTTCCTATCTTCACTCACTCCATGGCAAGAGAAAAGTTGTTCAACTTTCATTTCCCAATCCAAATAATTTTCAACATTATCCTTGCCATGAAATGGGGGAAGAGTGATGTTAGGTTCCTTATTGGAGGACTCCCTATGTCTATGT